TGCAGGTATTTTCAATTGGCATCAGAGCAGGTTGCTGGACATACTCAGCAAGATCTAACATACCTTAGGATGGATCGTGCCTCGGGCTCAATTGCACATCCACCATATTTCGATGGCAACAACTATGGTGCTTTAAGTTTGATGTAGCTGCCGCATCTGTCAATTGAAAAATATTAGATCCCCTTCTACTAGCCCGAGCTCAGAGCTGCAAGGGTTCTCCTTTGTCCATTCCATTTCGCAGAAGAAAAAGATTATTGCTGGTGTAAACCGCTGTGGCTAGAGAATCAGAAAAGCATCTCTGAGTTCTCTCTTCTTCATTCTCTCCAACACTCACAAGCCTTTGCTCGCTTTCAACCCAATCACACCAATGTTTTCAGTTGTGTGAGGACCCCCAATCGCTACAGAGCCGAGACAACAAGAGCAAACCACTCTGAGTTGCCAAATCCGCGTCAGGCTGAGGTAAAATGTTTGTTCCCCAGAATTTGTTGTGGGTCCTGATCTGTAGATGTGTGAGTATGATTTCGACATGTGCACAGTGTAGGAAGGTTGCAGATCCAAGAAAAGGCAGTCAGCACAAGGACAAAACAACACAAAGCCCTGAGGAACCCCAATCCGTGCACCTCATAGGTATAATTTCGAATCCCTACAAATTGTGTTGTTGGAAATTTGGTAGACTTGCTGCTGGGTGCAGGATTCCAGTATAGACTTGCTGCTGGGTGCAGGATTCCAGCCTAGGATTGTTTTGCTTTTGATATTTGTTGCTGATTGTTGTGTCTTTCCCAGTGTAGACTTGCTGCTGGGTGCAGGATTCCAGCCTAGGATTATTTTTTCTTTTGATGTTTGCTGCTGATTGTTGTGTCCTGCATTGAATCAATGATGTGTTATGAGTAGAAAGAAAATAAAAACATCTAGTTAAAGAAAAAAACAACAAATATATATATATTTTTTGATAATTAAAAGGAGTAAAGAGTATAGAAAAATTGGGTTGCCTCCCAACGAGTTTATTTTAAGTCTGTAGCTAGACGTTGCAGAAGCCTGGTGGTCAGATCACTGGTTCCTTCAGAGTCAGTGACTCACGTGCAATATCGAAGGGTGACTCCAAATATGGTTTCAGCCTATGACCGTTCACTTTGAATGTGTTGCCATTAATTTCACTTGTAATATCAACCACCCCATGAGGATAAACCTTAGTAACCAAATAGGGGCCATTCCAACGAGACTTTAACTTCCCTGGAAACAACTTCAACCTTGAACTGAATAACAAAACTTTTTGCCCTGGATGAAAATTCTTTCTGAGAATCTGATTGTCATGAAATGCCTTGGTTTTTTCTTTGTAAATGCGCGAGCTCTCATAAGCATCATTACGAATTTCCTCAAGCTCATTAATCTGCAATTTACGTTTTTCTCCAGCAGAATCATAAGAAAAATTCAACTCTTTAATAGCCCAAAATGCCTTATGCTCTAGCTCCATAGGTAAATGACAAGCCTTACCATAAACCAGCCGAAATGGGGACATCCCAATTGGGCCTTTAAATGCTGTTCTGTATGCCCAGAGAGCATCACTCAATTTCAAACTCCAGTCTCTTCGAGTAGAGCTAACTGTTTTTTCAAGAATTCGCTTGA